ATTCACGTATTTTAAAAATTTTTTTTTTTTTTTTTAACGCGAACAGCGCACAATTTCTTTTTCTTAGTTTAGTGTTATAAAAAAAATAAGTGGGTCATCTTCGGTCGTTTAATTGGTTCTTCTATTTGTAATCACAATCACGACTCACGACGAATCGATATTTACTGTGTGTGCTACAAGGATTTTATTTTACCAACGTTAAAGGTAACATGGTTTTTGGCGTTTCTTACATTTAGAAAAAGATAGTAAGAGCATGAAATTGTACTCTTAAATGTTGCCGTAACATGAATAAATCGCAGGGTTGCTTTTTTTGAAAAATATTTTCAGGTTAAAAATAAGTTTATATTTTAAGGTAATGTCGCACAATTGTCACTTGATACTCGTTAACCTCACATATAATTTAAGCCGGCTCCTAATATTTTTTTATTATAGATAACAAAACTTTCTAATTTCCAATTAGTTCTTTTTGCCAAATACCTTAAAACACGCACTTGAAATTCGTTTGGTGTTATGATATATAATGTACCTTTTACAGTATATATACGGAAAAATACTTCAATTGACATTAATACATGATCTGCTTATGACATTTTTTTATTATAGTTTGAATGTTAAATCTGTTGAAAGTTCAGTAAAATAAACCGTTAAAAGTTCAGACTTATTACAGTGGCAACACGTAAAGCTAACGCTTGGATGATGCAGAGATGTTAAAATATGTTAAAAACGATAAATAGAATTAAGATGTGTTAAAAAAGGCGCAAAGATGATAACGTATTTTAAAAAGAATGTACAGAATTAAGATATATAATATAATTCTGAAAACATGTGAAAATATTCCTCTTCTCTCCGAAGGAAATTGCCCTTTTTTTTTAAGCAGGCAATTGAGAATTGCCATTACATATGCCAATTTGAAAAAGTACGTTGTAGTGAATACCAAAGCCGGATTGATGCCTTCGTTCGAAGAAATATGGATTAATTGCTGCTAGTTCTTAATACAAGTATTAGAATTGTCTCTCATTTTCTGGCTGAAGCGAAACCCATTATAAACAAAATATCATTAACGTCGAATTTGGTTGAATGAACAAGGAGACATATTTCCCTGTGGAGTAAAAGCCAAAAGGGGCTTTTTCCTTACAAAAATATCTTAGAAAATATTTCCTAGAAAATATCTGGGAGAATGTAGGAAATTCAAGTCTAAACTTAAATAAAGCCTTTGTCCTCTCTCTTATTACAAAATAGATACTTCTTAACAAAAAGGCATTCTTCGACAATCTGTTGAAGGCGGAATTTTAACAGTACCGTATCCTACAGCCTAACCTCTAGCGGAAGAAATGAGCTGATAAGGAAATATGTGAAGGAAGAGATGTCTTCAGATCATGAAAGTGGTGGGGAAAACATTGAAATTGATTTCCAGGCAAAGAAAAGAAATGAATAACGAGAAGCCTACGTATGCCAGGGTCCGTCAACATATCATCGTGGAGTCAATAGTTGCAAGCCCGACTCAATTTAGATTGACACTGATGACAATACAGTAAATATTCGTCTCGACTCGACAGACATTAACTTTATACCGAAGGAAACTGATGCAGCTAGCGTCTACTGTAACGTTAAAACTGATGACTCCTCCATCGATAAACCAGACAAAATTTTAGAAAAAATTCTAAGACTAAAGTCTTAAAGCACTAGCATCTAAGGCTTTCGGCTTAATTAAAAACTCTACCGCACGTGAGATTTGAACTCACGACCATTGAGTTGCTAGTCGAGACTCTGGTCTACTCGGCCACTCAGGCGGATCGTTCATTTAATAACCCTCATATGGCACCAAATTCGAAGTCGCTAGTTATGTTATTTCCATACAACTTGTTCGACTCAAATGAATGCAACGAATAATAGAATTTATATTAAAGGAAATGAAAACCGACAGAATAAGCAAACATTTACTTCGACATGCTTGATGAAACAACAAAATAAAGGGATAGAAGAATAACAGAATTTACAGAAGAATGAAATAACAGAACATTGGAATAATATAATAATAGCGTATAACAACAATATAGTACAATAATTGTATTATAGATATGTACAAAGAAAAAGCTTCAATTAAATAAATAAGCAAATAATTGTTCAGCCGGCACAACATATCAAGCGCAGAATCAAAGGAGTTGACTTGCTCCTGATTTCCTAGCTAATAGACTTATCCATGCGGTCTTTATATCTTATCGGCTGGATGTTGTAAAATAATTACAAGCTCCAAAATTTGACAGTTTGGTGAATTTTTTTTTTCACCGTTTGTCTGATTTATTGAAAGCAACTCTGTGCTCTCTCCGTTCTCCATTCACATGATACTTTTTTTATAAACGGTGTAAAGGAAAAAAGCAGCTAACGGCTTTCTGTGAAATCGAAGAAATTTGACAAATGCAAAGCGTAGTTTTCCGAATAAAAAAACTGTTAAATTAAACAAAATATATCACAAAAAATTAGAAAAAAAATTGCAAAATAGAAATAGAAAGACGCACCCCCACAGTTTTGTTCTATATATTTAAAATTTAGTACATTAAAATTGTTAAATAAAACAAAATACATTGATAATATAGATAGGATATAAAATGACTTGAAGGAAAATAAGTACATTGACTGGTAAGTGCATTTATTTATTATTTACAAATTCCATTTTTTGGCAAGGAGACCCATCTGAGATTCGTACAGTTTTTCTGGAAATCTCGATGGTGTCTCTAATTGCTAGCAATTATTAGCATTAATATACTACCACTTTTCAACTATTGCACCGAAAGATGAAATATTTTTCATATATTTGTGTTTTCATTCGAACTACTTTTCTTTTTCAAATTAACATAATGAATGGACGAATAAATAAATGAATGAAGAAATGAGTGAAATAATTGTAAAATAAATAGAGTGAACACCAACTCAACTGATGGATTAACTTTTACGTAATAATATCAGGCTTTGTATAAATCTGTTTACTACTATGAGGCCTTGGAAACCTTAGTTCAACATGAAATGCTTATGGCTTGGGAAGGTTAACGTTATGATTGCTTTCTTGTCAACTTTTCCTCATTTTCTTCCGATATCACGTTTCTTTATTTGAGAAAAGGAACTTATGCAGCAATTGCCTTTGGAACAGCAATCATCCCATATCGATGCTAAATTAATTACTAAACTGTATGAAACCAAATTGAAAAAGTATTATGAAACCATATTTTTCCAATTGTAGTAACTTATCTCTTTCCATAGGCAAGCAATAGTAAGCAAACATCGACAGGAAATTTGGGCAAGTTGAAAACTATCAAGAGTTGACTGAAAAAATCGAAAACACACGAGCATTTGAAGTCAATATACACAAAAATGTGATGCCAAAATTTAGAACACCTAATTTTTCTAATATTTTTTGTGTTTTTTTATTGGTAACTTTTATTAAAAATTCCATACAGCCAGATGAAATAGGTGCTAAAGAAACATAAACAAAATAAAAATGTTGTGGGGAGGAATTTTTATGAACTTTTGTTTATTTTCATCGAAACTCGCACCTTTTCTTCGTTTTCATCGAAACTCTCGCAGCTTTTATTCATTTTCATTCATTTCACATTAAGATCATAAATTTTACATTTATTAAAAACAACTCTGTCTTCTCTCCATTCTGAACATATGGTACTTTTTATAAACACAAGAAACACGCAAAATATATACAAAAATACAATTATTTTTGAGAAAGTTCCTTATTGGTTTCTGGTAATTTTGAGAGATTTGCACACCTGTTTCTGGTAATTTTGAGAGTTCAATTTTTATGCTACAGGTGTTTTTCCATGGTAAGGGACTTACAACATATTAAAAGCAACTCTGCGATAAACATATGGTGCAGGGAAAAATAAGCCAATAGAAAAAACTTGTGATGAGAATGAGAGCGGTTTAAAATTGTCCAATTGTCGAATCTCAAGTGCGGTCGAGTTTTTAATAAAAAGCCGATAGCCTTAGATGCTAGTGCTTTTAAGAGTTTAGTCTTAGAATTTATTTCTCTGGCGAAATTAATAATAATAATAATAAAATTGTCCAAGTAAAATAGATACGAATAAATTGGTATATGTGAAATTCTCAAATTTTCGTTTTATTTGGTTTTTGGAAAAAATAAACAAATTTGATTTAAACAGAGAATTATACTACAGGTGTTTTGAGTAAAAAATTTCATGCAAGCGTGTCAAATATAAACAAAAACAAAATAAAAATGATGTGAAGAGAATTGTTCTTAGCTTTTCTTTATTTTATTAAGAAACATATATATTTTACTTTCAGAGACATTTTGGTTGAAATGGTAACCTAACTTGATATCACTGTCTCAGAAACAGATGATTTCTTTAAATTCAAAAAAAAAACAAAAAATTAACTGAGGTTAATACAAAAAAAATCCAAATATTTCTACAGAGGTTATTAGTGTTTTGCATTAGTTGTGCCAGAAAATAAGAAACACTGTTGCCGCTGTGTATTTTGGAAGAGTTTTTAATTATCAATAGTTTCTTGTTATAAGATTCGTCAGGGAATCCCAGGATTTTAATTATTAGAATTAGCACTACAGTTTTTTTAAGGTTATGTGACTCCCAGTGACCATAGCCATTAAATTTTCGGAACTGTCTGTTCTTTCCTGCCTCCAATATCAATATCAATGTATATGTAATTAAATATGAAAAATCCGAATGCTCTTGATAGTATATCTCTTACTAGGAAGCATGGTTGTTGATCTCTAAGTATATAAACCAATATTTTTTCGTATTTACCGTTCTCAAGGGTAAACAAAACGTTTACCGTTCACCTTTACAAGATACAAATTATAAAAATGTCCATGATTTTTGTCTTTTTCTTGGATAAATACATTTATTTGTCATTCACTACATATTTGAATTTATTTCTTTCGAACATAAAATACAAGTGTTTAAAAATTTTCATTAAATTTGTTTCAAGTGCTAAAAATTGAAAAAAAAAGAACAAACGATAATGGATAGAAAAATGGAACATAACAAAAAAAATTTTTTTTATATATACGTATACGTATACGTATATATGTGTTAGTTTAGACGCATTCAAGATTTTGAGTCTCTTTAAATGTTGAATTCATGCTCCATAAAGTATAAAAATAAAAGTAATTCAATTTTTATCTATATTTATGGTTTTCAGCTTTTTCTCTATCACTTTGATGACATGGGCAAAGGGAATATATTAAAATGTTCATGTATTTACTTCATTCTAAAATATTTGTAGAATATTTTTCTCTAACCACAAGATTCTATTTGTATCACTATTTAAAATTTTTTATTGTTTTGTTTCAGTTATTACACATATTTTGTTAATTTCTCTTTTGTATTAGATTCCAGTTAAACTTGCTTTTCAGTATAGTTAATTTCATTTATTGTTTTCTCAACACACTCAAAATAACGAAAAATGCTACTAATTGTCAAAAAAAGATTTGTGTTCAAGAATAATATACGAGGGGAGAACTACAATTTTCTACTCGCATTTACTTTTCACCGTTAACATAATTTGATTAGTTTGCCGTATTAAATAAAGTGCACTTAAAAATACTGCATTCGATCTGCAAGAGGTAAAAAAGTAAAAGCAATCAATGAAATGAAATCAAAACATAATTTTATTATTGATTTGTAAATTACTTACTGCCCCTCTTTAAAGTATTCCTTTAATGTTGTACTGAATTTCTTTGAATATTTTACAAACTCTTTTTTACGCTGTTCAACAGCTTGTTTGCCTGTCACTCCTGGTATAAAGTTACCAATTTCATTGACAACATCCAAGAGTTTTTTAATAGCACTGGCGATTTCCCTTTAAATCAAAATTAATTAAATATTACCAGGATATCAAAACTAAAAATTCAATATACACACTTAATAGTTTCCAAAAATGTTTTACGATCTGTAATTTCATCAGGTATACGACTTAGAATAACTTTTAGTGCCACCGATTTACGATTGAGTTCCTGGAATGGTTCTTCGGTACGCGTCAAACGATATTCATTCACTATAATAGTTGTGCACAAAATTAACATAATAAAATGCTGTTTCAAGCAAGTCGAGCGAACTTACGATCTGAGTCAGTTATATTGCCTTGCAAGCGTAAAACAGCCTCATTTATATTCACATTAAGTTCAGCACGACGTATGATCGCCATTATAAGATCATAACAAAATCCAGGATTGTTTTGCTCTGTCTTAAGTATAGCCGAACGTAGTGACTGAGCAGCGCCTACATCGCGTCGTTCCAACTAATCAAAAATGAATATATAAAATTGTATATTTGCATGAAATTGTTTTTCCACGACTGACCTGTGCGAATATAGGTCTCAAAATAACTGGCAATACAAGCGACGATGTTGGCATTTCCCCCATCTAAGAATTCCGCTGGGTTGACATCAAAAAATATATACGAAACTATGTGTATTGTCTGGCGATAAGTTTATTAAATAGCTTCACTAGTCCTTTTTGTAAACTATTTCTCTAAACGGGAAAACAATATAAAAACAATGAAGACGGAAGAACTGAATGATGATTTTTACAGAAAATTAATCACAAAGATATCAAAATAAAGAAATCTCTCACTTACCAATACAATTAGTGTTGCCAATATTTACAAATCAATCTAATGGTTTATGAAGTGTCTTAACACAATTCTTAAATTGTTACTTGTTTTTACTGTGAGGAAATTAAATAGAAGTCGTACGTATTTATATCAATATGTAATGATATTTTTCAACTCCTCTTTTTTTCGTTTTTTCTTCAAGATAATCAAAATTAACAAATTGTAAGGCGGCATTCGTTTTTTTGCTATGTTTATGTTAAGATATAAGGTGAGAACGCCTATGCATTTATCAAAGTCCATAACGAACCATTAACATCGTTGTTGTTATTAATTTAAAAAAAAAAACGTTTTTTAATACAATACGTTTTTAACTAATTTAGACTTAAAGGTATGAAAAATTGTCACGATGGGGAAACTAAATGGGTGATAGTGGCAACCCTGTTGTCGTAGTAAGAATTTTTGCAAGTTCTGCATTAACTTTTATTTTGTTATAATTTTATGCAATAAAAAATCAATGAAAATAACTAAAATTTATAATCAATGACAATAAAAAGCATAAACGTAAAAACTTAGAATTCAAACGACAGGTACATAGACGAAATATAAGAAAACAAAAGGTATATAGCAAAAAGGCGATAAAGAAGTTGTTTTCGTTTTTCTTGCAAGTTCCCCAATTTAATTAGAACTCAATAAAGCGTAAACCGTGAGATTAAATGAAAAAAATTGGATTCCTGCTCTAGGCTATCATCCAAGCGCAAAAAAAGGAACAATAGCCATGTTGAAGGTAATTTGAAAGTGAAAAAAAAAAAATTCGTCTATTATAAACGCTTTTGCGCTTTTGTTCTCGTCAAACAGGGCAAAGGGCAAAGATCCTTTGAGGATATCTGGCCGGCGGCGCGCATAATTGTTTTAAAATTATTAAAGCAGGAAACCGTATCCCAAGTGGAATGGCAAGATTTGTTTTACGGGGTGCATTTAGTGTGCTTATGGGATGAGAAAGGTGCTGCCAAGATATACGATTGTTTGCGTACAGACATTGTAGAGTTTATCGTAAATGCACAACGCAAGGTTCAATCTCAAAGAGGAGAGCAAGCATTACTAATGACCTATATAGTGGAGTGGCGTAAATTTTTTACTCAATCCAATTACCTGCCTTTACCATTTCGTCAGTTAGAACATTCATTTCAATCCAAAGTTCCGTCATCCAGTTCGGCGACTTCCTCGGCCTCCACATCAGCATCTAGTTCCTCAGCCGCAGCGGCTTCATCTTCCTCAGCAGCGGGGGCTAGTACGTCAACCTCTGCCTCCGCGTCTTTGTCGTCTTCCAATAAGAAAAATCCCACCGAAGACAGTATTGTACGTAAACTCATGCTGGACTCGTGGAACGAAAACATATTCAAGGATATTAAAGATCGTTTACAAGAATCTGCCATGAGAATTGTTCATGCTGAACGGAATGGTGATGCTTACGATGCCCAGTTGGTAATTGGTGTACGTGAATCATATGTAAATCTTTGTTCCAATCCAGACGATAAATTGCAAATATATCGTGAAAATTTTGAAGCAGCTTATTTAGATGCGACGGCAGCTTTTTATCGATTAAATGCTGCCGAACAACAGCAAATTAATGGTGTGTTGGCTTTCATGAAATACGCTGATGCTAAACTACGCGAAGAAGAGACAAGAGCAAAACGTTACCTAGAGCCTAGGTAAGACTGCTGTATATTTTACTTGCATTAAATATTATTTACAGATTTGCTTTTAAGATGTTATATAAAGAAACAAAGTTTTCCATTGCAAATTTAAATGAATAAAAATTTCTAATAGATGGTTTATAATAATAATACAACTATTATATAATTACAGTAGTTACGGTGTTTTGGCTCAAACATGTGTCAAAGTATTGGTGGGCGATCACATGAATACTATTATTGCCGAGTGTGCTCCATTGATCAAAGAGTACGAAACAGATCGCTTAAATTTAATGTTCCGTCTATTGGATCGGGTACCCAACGGTGTTGAACCCATGCTAAGGGATTTGGAAAATCATATTGTTTCCGCAGGTTTAGCTGACATGCTGTCGGCCTCTGAAATTATAACGCAAGACTCGGAAAAATATGTGGAACGTTTATTAGAGTTGTTTAAGAAATTCAGCGCTTTAGTTAAAAATGCCTTCAGCGATGATCCACGTTTTCTAACGGCACGCGACAAGGCATTTAAGACAGTTGTCAACGACACAAGTGTCTTTAAATTGGAATTGCCTACTGGTATACAGAATAGGGGCGTTAAGTACACAGCTCCCGAAAGCAAATGCCCTGAGCTGTTAGCCAATTATTGTGACATGTTATTGCGACGAACACCGTTAAGTAAACGCTTGACCAGTGAACAGATAGATGGACGTTTACGTGATGTCTTATTGGTATTGAAATATGTTAATAATAAGGATGTTTTTATGCGTTATCATAAGGTGCATTTAACTAGAAGGTGATTGAATTTACAATTGAATACAATTTCTTTATTAAAATATTTGTTTATTAGACTAATTTTGGGTACTAGTGCCGACAGCGAGAAGGAGGAAGACATTGTCGAGTGGTTGAGAGAAGTAGGTATGCCTGCGGATTATGTTAATCGTTTGGCACGAATGTTTCAGGATATTAAAGTAAGCCGCGAATAATTTTATCAATCCCATTTGTACTATATATTTCACTTGTTTCGCTTATTTGTATTTTTTAGGTTAGCGAAGATTTAAATACACAATTCCGCAATTCGACTGGTCGTCATGATGCCATTAATATTAAAATTTTAAATGCTGGTGCGTGGGCAAGGTGCTCGGAACGCGTATCGGTTAGCTTACCGCTTGAATTAGAAGACTATATACCCGATGTAGAAGAATTTTATAAAAAAAAGCATTCCGGTCGCAAACTGCAATGGTATCATCACATGAGCAATGGCACCATAACATTTGTTAATAATTTTGGACGTTATGATCTCGATGTAACCACTTTTCAAATGGCTGTGCTCTTCGCTTGGAATCAAAGACCTCACGACAAGATATCTTATGAAAATTTACGTTTAGCTACAGAATTGCCAGGCAAGTAAAGGCATCGCGGTTAAATTAAATATATAAGAAAAAAAAAAAAAAAACACGAAAGGTTGTCAAAAACCATATACGGGTGGTAGACTTTTTCAATTTTTTTACTGCTCATTTATAGAAATTTTTAAATTCTTTTTTAGATCCCGAACTAAGACGTACTCTATGGTCTTTGGTGGCTTTTCCCAAATTGAAGAAGCAAATACTTTCCATGGAGCCCAATTGCCCTACACCTAAAGACTTTACGGAAAATACTTTATTTCAAGTTAATCAAGAATTTGCTGTAGTCAAAAATGGGAAATCACAGCGACGCGGAAAAGTATTGATATCTAAATTCAACAAATCTCTCCTATTAGTCGTAAATTTCTTTGTTTTTTTTTTTCAGTTAAATCTTATTGGCCGTTTGCAGCTAAGTACCGAACGCTCTATACAGGAAGACAATCAATCTATCGTACAGTTGCGCATACTGCGTGTGCAGGAAGCCATTATTAAAATAATGAAAATGCGTAAACGAATAAACAACGCTACATTGCAGGTAAGTGTTTAAGATTTTACGAAAAATTTATAAATAATTTCAATGGGGGGCTCAACCTCATACCCCTTTCATTTTCAGGCTGAATTGATCGATATTTTGAAGAATATGTTCTTACCTTCAAAGAAAATGATAAAGGAGCAGCTCGAATGGCTCATCGAGCACAAATATATGCGACGTGACGATGATGACATCAACACATTTATATATATGGCTTAAAGGAAGAACATGTGATATCTATCACGTACTATGTCATCATTGTGGCCATTAATAATAAGTGAAAAGAAATTAATAAACATAAGAAAAATATTGTCGTGGGGTAGAAGTTTTTCACAACCTTTATCATTAACACAAAAAAAGTACTCTTCAAAAGTTACTCATAAGTAGGAATATTTTAAATTTAAATGTTTTTTTTTTTTTCGTTAGTGATGTAGTTTTTTTTTTTTTCTTTTTTGTAATGCTTTTATTAACATTTGCGTTCCGGAGAAATATATATTTTTTTTATTTATTTCCAAACATTGTCTGCTTCTCTCCGTCCTCTTTATGGGCTTTACGAGCGCTTTTGAAACTTTTCATTATTATGTATTCTTCTTTAATTTTGTTTTATGTGATTTTTTAATTTATAAACATCTTTTTACCAACTTCAATTTTTTATTTATTTTTTTATTCCAAAATGTATTAATTTTTATTTTATCTGCCATTTATCTTATTAAGTTATTCCTTAAAAGTTGAACATGTGCTCGGCACGTAAACACGTTAAAAAAAATTGTATACACAAAATGTGCTTAATTATGTTTCCAATTATTTTATTTTTATTTTTTAAATTAATTTCTATAAAATAAAATGAAGAAATCTTTACAAGTTTAATAATGACTTCGTTTGAATGAAAAAAGAAGTTATACGAAAAGTTTTATTAATTTAAATTAGAAAATTAACGATAGAAAGAAATGACTATAAACTAATTGTCTCAAGTCACGAACAGTAAGTAAATTAATTGCCTTCATTCCATATGCGTTGTTTCTATTTGTTTTACTTATACGTATATAAGCAAAACCATAACGATTTGTCAACTCCTATAGAGGTTTGTAAGCACAGTCGGCAAAGTTGAAAATAGGAATAGTGTCATTCATCTTAAAATCAACAGAAAATATATATTCCCCAAACATTTGATTATGCTAAGATAATTTGGCGGTGAGGTGAAATGCAATCTGTTTGCAATTGCGAATGAAACAAATTTTGGATCAATTTTATTACAAAACTATTTTTTTTATTTTATACAGTTCTTAAGAGGAGTCGGTTTCTCTTAAAGTTCTACAGATTTTAATTAGCTTAAAAAGAACTTTTACAATATATCAGACATATTTTCAGGATAATGCCCCAACGATTTAAAGTTTAAAATTAATAATCTGAATAAATATAAATATATATTATGTATATATATAATACTTTCTAAGATCATATAAGAAATCTTAAATATTAAGATATTTTTATTTTTAATTTTATAAAATCCTTTTTACATGAATACAATTGCCGATGGAAGGGAAGGTATAAATCAATTTCTTCAAAAAAAGAAATCATAAAAAAAAGTGAACATTTTTTTGCCTGTAACTGTAAGGATTCCAACTCGCGTCCTCATTCATATGGGAAAAACTTGGAAGTCGGGATGAAATGTTGTAGATCACTCTAGTGTCTTTACTTCCGGCCTTTATTTGGAAAAATGATGGGTACAATGGGGACGGCAACTGAACTTCTCCCGCAACATGGATTCAATTGACCCGTTCCGGTTTGTGAAAAATTGATTGTTTACTTTAAAGCATTCGGCAGTCGGCTCAACAAAGAACGATTAATAAGAAGGATTTGAGAAAAAAAATCCAGTTGACTTTTTATTAAAGTCGAGAAGTAGAGAAGTCTTTTTATACCCATCACTGTAAGATGAAAGTTTCCCATAATGTGTGTAACAAGCAAAAGGAAATTTTTGAGACCCTTTAAAGTCCATATATTCTTAGCGTGAAATTCAGAGTTTATTTAGCCATGTCTGTCGATGTCTGTGTGGTGCGTGCTGTTGGCACTCTCATAGTCGCAAAAATGAATATATCGACTTCAAATTTTGTAGGAACATTGGAGGGCTCTGCGCGCACGCTGGTATTGGAAATGGACCAAATCAGTCGGATCGGAAGTGCAGTGGAACGTAAAGTGAACACAACTCCTTTTTTTGTTAACAAAAATTTTTGGATTTCTGCCCACTACTCGAAGATTGTACAAGTTAGAGGGGTGAAATTTTTCACGTGCACTTTGCAAAGCACTCTACTTCTTGCGTGCAAAAATGGAAAACATCCGCATGCCCCCGCAAAGTTACAAGTTATTAAATTTTGTTTTCGTTACTCTTTTGCTTATCATAAGGCAATCAAGATCGAATGTTCAAAACGGTTTCGTACACTCCTTAAGCGAAGATCTATTATCTGCCTAAAAATGGTAGACACCGGGATCACTCTTTTCTTAATAATACTAGCGATATGGGTATCAAATAAAAGAACTTGGAGAGTAGAATACGAAAAGCATAGCGTTGGGTGTGGGAGATTCGGCCCCCGCCGAATACAACTTGTTTCTTACATGCGGGTATTTTCCCGTTCTTTCAATTTTCGGCATACCTACGACCATTCGAGTAATTGAGGAATGTAAGGGTTTATCTGTTGCGCTCGGAATGCGCATTTGTACTATTGGGAATAAATATACAAAACCTAAGAGATCATTCGGAAATATAGCATTTCCTTCTCTCAAATCGAGCCATCGCAGAGTAGACTAGTAAGTTTTATCATCCTGCCTGCCTGTATTTCCTGGATGATGGTATATACATATGCATATACACGGTACAGGTCTTACGCCATAAACGTATTTTTATCTGTAATCCTACCTGAAAAGCGGCGATAATTTGCTTGTTATGCATGTTACAGTCTACTTGAATAGTGGGGGCCACAGTGCAGTGGAGTAAATGTTAATCAACTTGGATACATATGTACTTGATCGTTGCGTATTTTAATGGACCATAGTCTTTACATAGCAATTGCCTTTTTGTTCAAATTTTGCAATTCCAATTTACGGAGCACAGCTCTCTCAGCTGAAAAATATGAAAATCTCAGCGAACGGACGACTGAAAAATGTTATCACATCGCAAAAATCCTTAATCCTTGGTTAACTGGAAGTTTGATGGAGTACAATAAGTCGTCGTAGGGATTGCCCAGGAACTTTCAAGAAAATCTCACTGTGCCACTACTTTACTCTGTTGAGTGCACCGCACCATTTATTTATATTTTATGTTTCCGTCGCCGGGCAAGAAAACTTGTAAGTGTGCCGTCTGTGAAAATAATACTGGTGGCTATGCATGCATCCCTTACGACCTTTGTTTGTCGTGAGTTCACGGCGTATGTATTTGTATGGTTTGGCGACAATGGTACGGCTAGAGTGGATGAACAGGCGTCCTTATCGGTCCTTTCTTATATTTATAAGAGTAATTTTGCAACGAATCGTCCACGCCCTGATAATCTTGCTTCAACTACGGAATCTAAGATCCTACCTAAGTTCCAAAATTGATGATCATCTATCATTGAAATTTGATCTATTCGTCCATCATGAAGATAGTGTCGCGACTGATTTGAAAAATGATTTATCATCACGTACGGAACTTAGTTGCACTGCACGGTAAAATTATGAATGAATATTTTAGGAACATTAGGACTGGTCGGATCAAATCCTCGGACTGTTTTGCATTTTCTTTAAATGAACATCTTCCCGCGGCTGCTATCAACCTGAATGCTGCACATGCTTAATGTTACGGCAAAGCAAATTAACTAAATATAAAATGATTGATGCGGTGAAATCGACTACTGTGCTTCCTCCCTCCCCAATAGGACTCCTAACGATTGTGACTTGCGAGGATGCGTTGAGCTTATCAAAAACAAGATTAATGCTGGTGTGAATGGTTGAGATGCCGAAATGCATGCATGGCGTATATGTAGTCGTCTTATTTTATTATTAAGAGGACCAAAGTCATAAATTCGCTTTGGTCTCACAGTTTGTGTGCATTAACATGTGAGAGAATAGGATAAGGTCTTCCATTTCCAATATAAGATTCATACTGTACCAATTTATCAGCCCTGCTATGACAATCGCCTTTCAGAAGCAATATATATCTCAATCGATTATATATAAATTAGTTTCATATTTTCGCTGGACTAACTCGCAATTGCCAATTGTACGCTATGTTTATGTTAGTCCGCAGAGAGACTCACATCTCCGACCATGTAAAGCGATTCCTTCCGCAGCTTTAAGCATTTTACCTCATATCGGAACTCACTCCATTTCTACAAGGTTATCAATCAAATATGATCAGTCACCCCAACTATGGTGTAAAATTTTCGGTTCACGGTAGTGTTACCGAGTTAATAGGCATTCTTTTTTATGTTTTCTTAAGGAACTCAAGAGTAAACTTGAACGAAGCTTACATAAGCATCACTTATGCCGAAGTGTTGTTTAGTTATGAACCCCGTTTTCTTAGCGACTGCGATTGTGCTATATCTGGCTAAAAGGTTAGTTCTACTATCATCCATACCTTCATACACATCGTACTTTACTTTCGTAATCATTCGTGCAATCTTTGTCTACATTAAAGGACTGGTTTTTTTCCAATACCCTCGCTCCGCGGAGTTGGTGTGTGGTGTGTGGTACGTTCAAAACTTCATCGTAGTCGGCCAATTTATATTATTCCCAAACACTTTTATTAGAATCGGAATTCTTGATTTTATCCAAGACCATTTGGACTCGTCGCTAGGCTAGCCTATTGCAAAGAATACCATCCGTCTAAGAGTCCATAACTTAATTTTACCTTAAATTGTTGAGTAAAAGGATAAAAATGAAAACAATTAACTGAGGTAACGTACAGAGTTTGTCGCGTCGTAGATATTTAACGCCAAGGCCCTTGAGGTCTTTGAGAAAGTTTAGAACAGATATTTAATGTTTCGCAAGTATGCTCTAATAAAAATGACAAAAAAGTCTGTATCGTTGCAATCAAGAAAGATTGAAAAGTTGAGGAATTTACTTTCTTTTGAATTGTACGGCCGCGTTAAGACTTTCGTTAACATAAACGTCGTGAAATTCGTGGAACTTCTCTTCCAAAGTTCTGCTTTGTGATAAACTAACTATGATTATGATTTATGATTATTACAAACTAACAAAATGAAAAATCCCTTAATTGTGCACCCTTCCAAGGAGGAACGACAACGTATCATCATCGACTAGTTATTCGAAATTGGCAAAAGCTTATTTAAATCTTTCAAACTTACGAAGTGTGGAATAATAAGCATAAAGAGCTCCATGCAACGTTTATCGAATAATAAAAATTGTTCTAACTGAGTTAAGCATTGGAAACATTGTATAGCTGCTTTAAGTTTGAGTTTTGAATTGAATTGAAGACAACGATTTAAAAACTCTTCCCGTCCGTCATACCACGTAAACTGAAAAAAGCTTTTCTGAAAGCAATTTAAAAAACTTTTTACCATTAATACAAATAAAATATATATATATTACATTTTGAGCATATGTATGCATTGCATCGCGGCGGGGGGCACTGATCTCCTGAAATCTCATCATAAAAAGAAAGTTAAAAAGTGTACTTAACTTAATAATTAATAGCTACGATTTCATCTCAACTATTTTCTACGGCGATATTTTTTGTAGCCCTTACCATACCAGCCGGCTTGGGTCCGTGCCAATTTGCGTGGAAAACTGCTGTTAATGTGATTGCGACGTTTGGCCATTTCAGCGGCAGCTATATGAGCTAACGATATATTCTCGTCGTAATCGTCATCCTCTTCATTCTCGCTTAATGGGCAGCATTCACAAACAACAAAACGTCCTTTACGCGTACGCTTCTTATGTTTACGATCGTGTAAGTCGAATTTCCTGTAAAATTGACATTCGGATTCGGCATAGTGATCGAAACAAAATTCACAAGATGCAGCCGAACGGTTCATAGCAAAGATAGGCACAATTTGTGAATTCCAAATATTGATATCGGCAGGTGGCGGAAATACTATGCTATGCAGACCGGAATAAGCATACTTTGCATCGCACCAAGAAGGCAATTTGCTGCGTAATAAATGATATCGTTGCTGGGCATCGATGCGACTACCGTTTGCGACTCTTTTCGGGCAGGTTAAAGCAAAATTTTTTAAGATATCCATTTGTGCTACAATAACTTGTTCCGATGCACACTCATTCGTTGAATCTCCATCTGCTGATCCTTCATCGGCAGATAATGTTTCTTCGTCCAATGTATCCAATGGCGGAGAGGTGATCTTGTTAGGCGAATTCTGCAATTGTTTAACCAAAGGTGTCAAAGGCGGTGGTTCACTAGTTTCTGTTTCATTAAAAGCATTTTGACTGCTCAGAGCTTGAACGCCAGGATCTACTTTGTAGCCGTTGAAAACAGCAGGTTCTGTGTTGGGCGCCACCGGTACAATTACGTTTTTAACGGATGAATGATTGATGAGCTCGTTTTTTACATTATCAATGGAGCCAGCAGTCAATTTAAAACCATTCGTAGGAGTTTTCACAAAACCATTGGGGGGCTGGTTTTCTGATTTACCTTGTTGCAAGTTTGAACTCATTTCATTTTCTAATCTTTTAAGAAATTCTTCAGCATTTTTAGTTAACTCTGTAGCTTGTCTGATAAGTAATTGCTCGCTTCGATGCAATTCAGCGATTTCCACCAAGACATTTTCATTCCGTTCCAATTTTAAAGGCAATTTGACTAATGATTCTTTATTCAATTCGATCTTTATTTCCTTCTTCCGTTGCTGCCAACAGCTGAGCGATGAATCCTCCTTGTTGACTTTCGCCTCTAACGTTCTCAAATCTGACGGACATTGAGTACTTAGACCTGATTCCATAGATGTTGCGGACTCAATTTTTATAGCGTTTAAATTTTGGGGTTCAAGTTTAATTTTGTCATCAAAAAAGGTTTTCTTATCCACTTCCGCCAGCTTCTGTATATGGACGTCGTCCGCTGTCGCCGATGTAGAGGATTCGTCCTCAGAATTTATTTGCGAAACAAATTTAACTTTGTTTTTTAAATCTAAATTTGTTTTAATGCGAGTACCGCTCATTTGTTTTAGGGGTGTTCGTATGCGAGGCCCTCTACTGATCATTGCTCGATATTCGCTGTCTGAAGTAGAACAACTTTTCTCAGAGTCATTTGTGCAACTGTAGCTACTTGAGATCTTATCAACTTCGTCTGCGTGATCGATTTCACTTTGTTTGAGCAGTGGCTGACTTAAAGTATGCAGCTCTTCTGGCATTAGTAAAGTGGCATGAATAAATATAGGATCCTTCTCTTTTTTGTAGACGGGCACCGGGATATTTAAAATTCTCATAAGCATTTCCAAGACTTGGTCACATTTGCCGTTAATTTTAATACTGGCGAGGTTATCCTTGGGCGTCCATTGCAAATTTACTATGCAAATTTTTGCTCGATTACGAGCCGGTTTGTCCATTTGCCAGAGCCATGTATATTTCTTGAGAACCTTAAGACTCGAACCTAGACACAAAATGACGTCAGCCTTCTCTGCGTGCTGACATGCACCAGCCCAATTCAAAGGCCACTTTAAATTGCCTCTTTCTCCGAAGTGCACTATAGTATCGTAAAGTGGTTCCGAACAATGATGGCACAATCTTTTCGTCTTATGGCAATAACGCGCCGTCATTTCGGTTGTGTCAAATAAACGCCAATAGACCGATATTGGTTTGCATGTCTTACATACCTCAATATACATATTTCCGTGAATTTCGGAAAGTGAGCTACGCGGGAGACCTGATCGCAAATGCAAACCGTCACAATTTTGTGAGACGACATAGCGCAAAATGCCTTTCTTATGCAATTCATACAAAGCCATATGTGTGAATGTAGGATTAGCTGCTGATAAATCGTGCTCACCAATATCTTCTCCTTTAGACAATAACGTCCAGATACCTTTGCTGCCTCTATAGTCGGGTATTAACGCTGAAGTACTTATGCCTGCTCCCGTGTAGCAAATTAAATGTTTAGCTTGCAATATAATACTGGCTAATTCTCCAACTTTGGCTTCAATTACGTGGAGATCGTCTTCTTTTTCTACAATTCTCTCTTTGTAGATTTCAACACGTTCTTTACGCTTCTTCACCTGCTTCACAATATCCGGATGTTTCTCCAAGAGTTGACGGTCTTCCAAGCTTCGCGTTGATTCACATTTTTTGTAAATCATAGAAATCTGTAAATAAAAAATAAAAATGTCTTTACTATACTTGATGGCGAAAGTAAGAATTAATTAAATCGTTCGGAAAGCAAAACGACGCTATATAAAGCGCGTACGCTGCAATAGAATTATGCTACCTCTAAAACAATTGGATGCTACTTTTGCGACTATTCTTTATAATATCCAAACTCCAACAGTACAAGAAAGTACGAATTGTCTCAAAGCTGCTTGTTCTTGTTACCTAATATCTTTGAGCGACTATTTCGCTCCAGATCTGTAGTACGTAATTGTTGAAATTACCCCTGGGGTTTTCAGATTTTCAAATATTTATTATTTATATCAATATTTTGCGCTCGCAAAACAGTGTAACATCTAATTTTTGAAAGAATTTCCATTTAGCCGAGAAACATGAAAGACATTTCAGGGAAATATTTGTTCTTTCACAAACATTTTTAACGCACATGTGCAAATTAATTAAGCACAAACTATTTGTACACACGAACCCACCCGCATTCATCAATAGTCAATCGTACACATTCACAGACATATAACAAAGCAACAAAGAAGGAAACTCATTCGGCATAGAATTTATTTAGCATTTCTAGGCAATATAATAATCGAACCTATTAAATGATATTTATCACAATGATTTACTTTACGAATGGTATCCTTTCGACGTCGTTTTTCGTTTTCAGCTTTGGCCGGATTCAGTTTTGCTCGCGTCAAATAAGTTTGTAACGCTTCTCTAGCCGACTTTTCTTTTGAAGGCATTTCAGTATCCTGTGATGATTCCAAATCATGCTCCATGTCTCTCTTCTCAATTATCACTATTTTTAAATATATATTTTAATATTAATCTTTTTACACAGGATAACTCGTCTGACCACTATTATCTTTTCTTAGCCAATCAAGCAAACCAAACATAAATGTCGCAAATTCGCTATATATACCCTTTCTTCAAGAATACATACGATAATAACTTAAAAAAAAAAAAAATTACAAGTGGAAGAGCTACCGCCTTCTATACATTCACTTAAAGGAAAAATTATGTAAATTAGCACTTTTCCACAAAAGTTTATTTGGTATCCATGATCCAGAGTTTTTTTTTTGTTTTTTATTTTGCTCATTTTATTTATTTAATTTTCCTTTCTTTCAACACTTTTCCTCTTTTTTTTAAAACAATTTATATGACTTTACGCACACTACTAATAAAAACAAAAACAATTTTCAATTTAATTGTCAATAATAGAATAAAAGGGATACGACAATAAATAGTCATGCCATCTAATATACGATGAAATAGTTGCCAGCTTTCTCAAATTAATGATACGATACGATATTATATCGAGAACTGAATTGAATTTTATTTTTATACCGTAATCTCAAAGGATTCTTCATTTTCCATTTTTAGAGCCTCGTGTGGCCCAACGATATTTCCAGAAAAACTATATGAATATCAGATGGGTTTCCTTTTAAAAATATTTTCCATAAAATTATTATCAATGTACTCAAGTGTAATTTTTTCTCTCGCTTCAACAATTCAATTTGTTAAACTCTATGATAATTTTTAATATCATTTTTGTAAAACTTCTTTTTAAATTTCTTTTGATATTTTCAATTTTTATAACTTTTTTCGCAATTATTCTAAAATATTTTGTGCAATTGTGACATGGCTTTCATTTTTCGTTAAAAGCCGTTAACTAGTTTTCTCCTCCACAAGGGTTTTAAAAAGGCATGTTGAGAATGGAGAGAGCACAAAGTTGCTTTCAATAAATTACCCTGACAAATACGATGAAGCTGAAAAATTGTCGTGACAAATACGATGAAGCGGAAAAATATATATGCTTCTGCAACAACAGTTCGCCTTGATTATAGTGATATAAATTTCTCTCTCCTCAGTTACTTTCAGCAATCTTTTAACCCAAGAGGAAAAGAAAAGAAGGTTCAAATTTTGAGGTAGCAATCCATTAATTACATACAAAAAATGGAAGTAAAACGTTATTTAAAAAAAATTCTACGAAAACATTGAGGTCCTTGAAGATTTTTGCAAACTTTGCTTTGCTAACTGCTTTATCCCAATAAGAACTCTGGTATAAACAAACGATTTTATAAGTCCTATATTAGTTTCATCCAACTGCCACGGTGTTCTGCGCCAACTTTCAAGTAATTAACAAGCGTATAAAGGAAATAGGCTTTAAAACTATGTTTATTGTCAAATATCACTGAAAGTGCGATTTGCAATTTAGCCATTGCACAACAAGAAGAACATCGAGGTCACAATTTAACTCCAAACTATGCCAAGTGTGTTCAACTTTTACTCCCAGATCTAAAAACGAGATGAAGCGTCATTCTGGTATGGCCTCATATATGGTCAAGAGTAATTAAATAATCTTGAAGGGTTTATAAAACTGTGGCACCTACGACTTCATCGGTAAGAGAAATGGTACAAAGAGAAAAGCGATAATAGCCAGCCAGTATCGCTATTGCATGAAGAATTATTCCATAATTTTGTCGCAAGAAGGTTTATTTTTGTCGCAAGCCGTTTTATTTTCCATTTATACTGAACAATTTTGTCGCAAGAAGGTTTATTTTTGTCGCAAGCCGGTTTATTTGCCATTTATACTGAACAATTTTGTCCAAGCGCTTCATGGCTGCATAAGTAAATAAAAAAAAAAAAATAAATAAATAAATAAATAAATAAATAAATACATAAATAAATAAATAAATTCTACGGAGTATATTTTATTCATGTTTATTTTGTATGTAATTAATTTTTGAATGCTAATTTGAAATGCATATGTCATGTATGTAAACTCAATAAGCAATGTGCCGTCAAATTCTTCATCTTTGCTTGCCGGCTGAATGGCTGCTTTGCGTAAGACTTTACTGACTACTTCGTTGAGCGAATCGCGTGCTCCAGCATCTAGAATGTCGCAAACCTTGCTGTACGTTGTTTCATCATCACGTAGGCTTAACATCGAGATTAATGCAATTTCTGCGTTTGATTTAACATAACCGTTCTTTTCCTTAGTACCATTCACAAGCATCGGAATTAAATACCTCATGATTTCAGGTGAGATTTGACTAGCCTCCAACGTCTTGGCCATATGATTGCAACTCTTCGCTACCAATTGCTTTATGTCCTTACTATTATGGTTCATAGCTCTAGTAAAAGCGGTGACAATCGGTTGTGCTGGAAGTAGTTTATTTATCATCCAATATTCAATGAGATAAGTGGCCCCTCTTATTCCATTGCCAGCGATCTGAACTTTATCCAATGATATGTTGGTAATCAAAACTTTTAAAATGCTATCATAATGCGCAGTATTTAATATAGTTGTTGCACTTTCTTTGAGCGCCACAAAAATTACCACAGTCCGACCGTGTTTGAGGGAAGAGTCGTCATTGTCATCGATTAGGACATGATGACGCAGTACATCATCAACCTGATCAGTGGAAAGGTATTTCAATAGTGCTCCTAAGCAAGAAACGAGGGGCGCCGATGCAATTGGACACAACAGATTTACGCCACAAAATCGAGCGGTTAAGGCGCCGCAGAAATAATTATGGCAACTCAAACACCTCAAACAAACCGAAAAGAAAAGAAAGAAACCAAAAAAATATCCAACAATGCGCTAGCCTGTAGAAAAATACAATCCCGCATATTGGTATTTACTGGCAGTAATGAAGTGCATCTCAATACATGTCCTATATGAATGTATTGACAGAGAAATTGGGTGTTGTTCTACGTGTTTGCTCTTTGGATAAATCACTGAGTTTGTTGTAGCAGGTTTGTGGACATTGCTGGTGGTCAATAGCCTTCGTTAGCCTTCATACTATATGTCTTTAAAGCATTTCTCTATGTAATAATGAATAGGCCACTGTATTTCATTATAGATGTGTCTTTGTAAATCGAATATACATCCACCCATGGCACTACGTGTAACATCTTCTGAATGACCCAGCATTCCTATCAAGGTGACGTAGATTTGCTTTTTTAGCGGTCCCGTCATTTTATCACCTGCTGGACTAATTACACTCCGCAAAGCTTGTAACATTATCTCACGTATGACCGAATCGTCGCTGCTTTTAACGCTGTTGTGTATTTCGTTGAAAATGGGATCGGCGCGTGTGTGAATAATTACCAATTCTGAAAGCGCGTGCCCTGCTTTCATTCTTATGGTGCGATTCTGATCGTGTAGTGCCTTTAAGAAAGTGGTTTGGAGCTGTGGCAAAAATTGTTTTAACATAACTCCAACTTTGTGCAATAGCATGGCCAGTGTTTCGAGCACAGCCGCTTTTACGCCAGCATTAAAACGATCTCTTAATATCCGTATAAGCGGACCAGTTACATGCACAACTGGTGGTTGTAGGGATTGTGCACTCGTCAAAGCAATTATTTCTCCCAAGCTCTGAGCAGCATTTTCTTTTTCTTATGGCAAGCCGTTTAGAATGGCTTCACGGAATACAGGCAATAACGGCGTAATACCTTTTGGTAAGCAGAATCCCGGTAATTCCGCTTCTTTTGAATCACTAGCTGCAAAACGCACTGCTTGTCGTACGTCCGATACATGGGCGATCTGTTGGGCAGAATCAAGACCCTTGACAACAGCGTTTAATGCGTCCCATGATCTCTGCAGTATATCTCTGTCTTGTTCAGCCATTAACCGTAGCAAACAGCGCAGCAATTGAAGAACATATTGAGAATAATCGCCAGGGGTATGCATACAGAAGGCGGATAATAAGCTAGCTGATGATTTGCGCGTAATGAGATTATCAGATTTAGCGTAAGTCATCAAAGTATCCATAACAGTACGTATTCCAACTTCGTCACTTACAGACAATATCACTGTTTGGCAATATTCTAGTTCCTGCGATTCATTGAGCGTTCCTTGAGCTTCAGCAAGGGCTTGCAATAAAGCGCAAAGGATTTTAGACAAATATTTGCTCAGTACCTCCACGGCTACAGATACTAGTATGGAAAGGACTTTAGTATTTACGGGAGGAGCTGTCAATTGCGGTACTAAATATGGCAAAACCACTCTTGATTTAATAGACATAACTTGTCGTAAACCATCCAAAGTGTTTTCCGCTACCTCAGGATCTGGATCGGAGAGACCTACCAACATTGATGGTAGTATATCGGTTTTCAAGATTATACATGCCGCACAAGTGGCTTCTGACAATAACGCCACTTGACTGGGATTCTGTAAGGCCTTATCGAAAATTGTCGGCTTACTCATCGTCGGACGTAAAGCCGCGGGATCGTTTTGCCACGATGAAATCCCTCAATTTTTCCAGTAACTCCATAATTTCCATAGACGATCTGGTTTTTTTCCTAAATCCAACTGACAAGTTGGAGAAAACCTTTTCCAGCGGATCTTGGCTTACCCTGTATTGCTTCAAGGTTTCGCCAGGGTAAGTTGACAACAGCTCCTCCATGACTGCAATGAAATTGTTTATGGTCCGCCGGGTTTCCATGGAAATTGGGTCCAACCTGTAAACATCTTGCAAATACGCGTCCACCTCTTTATTTCGCCTTTCCGGCCAGTTCTGTGCGCTTATTCGCACCTGGTGGAAAACTTCGAGGAATTTCGTTACATTCCTGATCAACTCGCACACTTGATTTGCCTTGGAGGTGTCAACGAGTATCACTTTAGCATTAATTGCACCTTGGATATACGATACCACAGCAGGCCGGAAAAAGTTAAATGATTGGTATCTGCCAAACGGTGCGTTGTGAACTGGGATTGGTACTCGTAATTTCCAAAACCGGGATTTGGCATAGCGTGTCTGCACCAATTTTGAGATTCAGTTTTTCGTGTTGAGCTGTGTAAATAATGTGTTTTTGTAAATTTTAGAGGCAAATGTTTTTGCGATCTGAGGATAGTCGGAAAGGAGTCGAATTTCATACATGTTGCCATCCCGTCGTTTTCTCTTAAAAACACCCTTTCCAAATTTTTTTGCCATCTGCAAACTAGCGCCACCTCTATCGCACACAAAGGCCCTAACCTCAAGGCCAATATCTTCGGCTAGTTCAAGTATTTAATTTATTGTTCCGCGTGCGTTCATTTGGAGGGAGCTGCAGCGAGGGTACCATTTCAAAATGATAAAAAAAATCCGTTAGCAGACTCCTCGCTGCAAACACTAGGACGGTAAATGCAGTAGAGTTTCAATAAAGTCGATAGCCTTAGATAACTGGTGCTTGATTGTTTGAAGTTATTTCTGTTAGCTAAGCTAATAATAATAATAATAAGCGATTTTCTTATAAATCCATAAGGTCCATAAGGTGATAATTAATCTTTTAGGAATCTCCGACTTAAAGATTCCATTCGTAAAAGCCGAAATGTTTGTTCGCTTTTTTAAAATGCATTTCCAGGCTCTTTTTTTTCTATCCGCTCCAAGGATATGGCTCGCGATATTTTAATTAAAAATGGATATGGATTTGTGATAAGACACTTTCGACATTTTGCGCTTTTTTTTTATCCTTTAAGGGTGTGTTTTATAGAATGCATATTATTGTCATTTCACATTTTATAGGAATTTGAAGATTATCCGCCGATTATCCGAAGATTATCGTGATGCCGAGTGTGGTGGAATTTGCTCCATTGTCTAATATGAAAGACAGCTATTGAAAAGATGGATGACACCGACTTGAATGGACGTCGTATACCTCTGGTAGAAGATCGGCGCAGTGGCCGTGGAGGACGTGGACAATCTGGATCGTCGAGTTCACGTCGTAATCATCCTCTATTTCTGTTTTATCGTCTAAAAAATAACAAAATGACGTGAAACTTGATTAATCAACCATCCTCTTAGAGGATAAAAGAAAATAAAATTAATATACTTTCTGTGACCCCGCTCTTTTAACAATAAAATTGCAAGCAGCAGGTTATGTGAAGATCTCTTCATATAGACACCTTTGTAAAAAACTTGATGTTTTTTGTTTTTCTTCCCTATCTTGTTTCTTACGTTGTTGTTGGAAGGAACCGGATGAATGGTAAATAGATTGATTGATTCTGCAGTTTCATTTGAAAGAGCAAACAAAGAATAAAAGCAACCGGGTAAAGCAGAGTGAAGCCTTCTTTACGTTTAAATTAAAAATAATTTTATTATTTTTGACATATGTATTTTTCACATTCGGAATGTCAAGATTGAATAATGTTTTATATTTTATTAAGGCTTCCCTAATGGTATTATGAAACTCATATAATCAGCGACCGCTCCCCAATCGGCACGTTTTGTTTGGAAAATAATAATCCAAGCCGTTAAAATCAATATCCATACAAGCGTGCCGAGTGCAGAGTATATCACGTAATTTTTAATTTGCTGTTGTTCTGGATATGACGGAGACGATGGGGTCTTAAAAGCTTCTTTAAAGAACCAGCAAAAGTTTACAGCCCATACGAAGGGAAGCAGGGCAAAACCAGTTCTAAAATATATCTTGCACAATTGGAGTTTCTTTTCATTGCTGACTTTAGATAAATTCATTCTAATTTGGATATTTTGATGAAGACGCTATAGAAAAAGAAAAACAATAATTGTATATGTAAATATAAATAAATTCTGCTAAACGATTAGTTTCTTCCTTTGTGATGATTAATAATATTATTACCCGGAGTAGTTTTGCTTAAATAAATAAATGAATTATCTGTAGTGTTTCGATTTTTGTTATTCTTTCTTATTATTATTTTCATAGGACAATTGCATATGAGCAAGAGCAAACGATATTTTTTATCGATTTTATGATGAAGACATTTATCGATAATTTTAGTCCCTCATTTAATTACTCTACCAAGTTGTACAATTCAAAGTTCAAAGGCATGCATAACTGCAATGTTAGAAACGACGACGAAGAAGAAAATTTGTAAAAGCATCAACTCTATGCTAATTTGCAGAACAAACGTAATACTCTATGCTAATTAACAGCGTAATTGTGCAAACGAGTAAAACAGAGGTGCTGCCAACCGCAAATTATGTTATGTTATAAAAAATTGCGTTGGAAACCAGCATGTTGAAAAGCGTTTACTGCATTAAATTGCCTTCTTTTAGATATTTTTTCATTTTTCGAATTACTCAAATTTTTCTAACGTAATGGATAATTTAATTATAAGATAACATTACTTTCGAAATTAATTTATTAGAACATTTACATATCGTTTCAATTATAGCCGATTATTTAATGTTCCCCATTATTCAATAATATTTCTAAACGCCACTCTTTCTCTAATTAAATTAAATCTATGATACGTATTAATAATTATTATAGATTCTTTTTG